TATATTTTTGTCAAATTTTTATGATATCGTCAAACATATATTTTATTCAAAAATAAAAACATCATCGCTTTCTCAAAATCACATAAAGCCATATTATAATATCGACTGAGATAAATAATAAAATGAAATATTAAACACACGATGTATCTCGCTGCATTGCGCGAGTACGCTTCTAGTAATGAAAAATGAGGTAAAATTAAAAAACAAAATATTGTGTCATTATAAATTCCTTTTAATTAATTTTCCATTTCAGTTTTTTTTCACCCTAAATATCAGTTACCATCCTGATCAAGAATCAAAACACACACAAAAATGAGATTCATATTTTCTCAAACAATCCCCTTTTTTACATGTTTTCCCATTCATCAAATCACAAGATTATGTGATCAATCAGCCCATGAAATCGAATCAGATTCATTTGCATTCATATGCAACACCTTCATGATCTGAAAATTTCTCAAGTAAGTTCTTCAAATCTCTGTGTTTTTTGATTCATATTCATGTAATCTTCTTCTTCTGTTTTTGATTCTGTGAAACAATGGATCAGATTTACACACACACACACACACTTGTTCGTGTTTTGATTGATCATGATTCACTTATTTGATCTGTTTCTGTATTTGGGATTTTTAGGGTTTCAATCTTGTTTTGTGGAAATGTTTCATGATTTTAATGTTATAATCCACATGTTGTACAAGTTCTTAATGCTGATTAAGCCAAATTAGGGTTATTTAGGTAAATGACCATGCCTATGCCATCTTATTCTCAAACCTGTTAGAAGCTCGTTGTTTTAACGGAAGGTCATTTAACAAAAAGATGGTGTCCGATATGCTTATTTTCGGGCCGTAAGTTAGATTATTTTTTGAGTTTACTGTGAATTTTTTTTTTAATAAGCTGCGGCTTAGCTTTTTGAAAAGCTACTTTAAATAGTTTTTCAGTAATTTTGAGAGATTTGGATTTCATGGAGGTATTTGGATTGAAATGAAGTGAAATCATTGGTGTGTTTGGTTTCTTGGATTTGGAATAGAATTGGATTCTATTATTTGTAAATCTATACTATATTATAAAACATTTGACAAAAACTTTTAAAAACCAATTTTTATGCATGAAGTACTTTATATTGATGCATATTACTTAAAATTCAATATTACAAGTCAATTATGCATAAGTACAACTTATTAAAGCTCCATGTTTGAATTCGTGTAACTAACTGCGGATAAACATAACCAAATAGAAGATAAACATAACCAAATAGAAGATAAACATAACCAAATAGAGGATAAACATCACATTTTAAAATAAAAAATCTAAAGGATAATTATTGAGTTTTAACAAAATAATTAATTATTATCTTTAAAGAAAGTTATATTATTAAAACTTAAATTAAATTCTAATAAAAAAATTGAATTAAAAAATTACACAAAAAATAAGAATTTTAAATAGTTAGTTTGATACTAATATCGATATATTTTTGTCAAAATTTTATGATATTTTCAAATTTATATTTTATTCAAAAATAAAAACATATCGCCTTAAAATCACATAAGCCCATACTATAACATCGACTGAGATAAATAATAAAATGAAATATTAAAATCAAGATGTATCTCGTTGCATTGCACGAGTACCCTTCTAGTAATTATAAAAATAATTAAATTATATTTTTATTAATCGATTATTACAAAACAAATGTTTTTAGCATTTTTTAAAATCTTATTTCATACAATCCTACTAGATCCTGTAAGGATTTCAGAATCCTATGATTGTAAGATTTCAATTAATTCTAGGATTTCAAATTCGGACAATCCAACAAACCAAACATGGGATTGGAATGGATCTGAAATCCAAATCCATTCCATTCCTGCAAACCAACAAGGACCTTCTATGTTAGAATCGAGTAATTGTTCAGCATATGTCATTTTAGGTTATTTTACATTGTCATTTAACTTGTCAATTAGTTTTTAGTAAGTTTATTAGTTAACACTAACTTATCAGTTAATTTGCAAAACATGGCCTTAATGGTTAAGACTTACATATATGTATGGATTAGTGAATGTATGTATAATAACTTATACACAATGGATCAACTTGATATGACTTGTCCTGTGTTAACTCGGTGAGTCAAGACGAGTCATGGTATTGAGTCAAAATTTGTTATCGTAGCACAAGATTCAAATATTTTGTTCTCTCTAACCGATATGAAATCTACTCCTATATGTAACGAATGAACTTCATTGGATGGTCATGAGTCGTTATCAGGTTCACTCAATGAGTTAAACCATGATTTAAATATAACCGACGTTAAACCTATTCCTGTACACAACGGACGAACTTGATTGGATGCTCTTGAGTCCTTATCGAGTCAACTCAACGAGTTAAAGTAATGAATGATGACTTAAGCTCTGTTGGCAAACTAGCTGATAAGCTGGCTGTTAACTCAAAAAGCTAATGGTTGGATAATTTAGTTAGCTGAAAACGAGTTATTTAGCTAAATGACCTCCTAGTAAGTGTTTTTTAAATCCATTATCTTTTGACAGTTTTTTAGGCATTATTGTGTATGAAAGTGATATTCTTCTGTTTACCAGTGACATTTTCAAATCTGTTAGAAGGTCATAGATTTTAAAAAACCTGTCAGAAGATCATTTAACCAAATTACCACTAAAAATTATGGTTTGATCATGATGATCTTTGATAAAGTAATTGATTTTCTTGTATCAAGAAGTTTGCAGAATGAATCAACAAAACATATCGAAGACACCCGATCTCCCGGTGAAGCGTAAGCGTGGTCGTCCACGCAAGGATGAGAGCGTGCCAAGAAACGAAAAACAGCCACCTTTAGCTCCACCAGCACTAGCTCCGGCGCCACCACCAGCTGCCGTCATGAAAACCATCCAACCACCAGCACCACTCCCAGCTGCCGCCATTCCCGCTAGTAACAATGCGAATCAGATTGACCATACCATGGTGGGACAGGCGGTTACTTGTGTGATTGATGGTATTTTCGACAACGGATACCTTCTCTCGACTCGAATGGGCCCCAATAACAGCATTCTCCGCGGCATTGTGTTTCAGCAGGGCCATATTTGTCCTGTTACGCCTGCAAACGACGTGGCTCCACACGTTGAGATGAGCACGAGAGGTGAATTCCCCATCCCGCCCTCGAATCCAAGAAACCAGATACAGTTTTGTACCCCTGAATCGGTCTGTGCAAAACAGACACAGCCCGTGGCGATGCAAAATTACCAAAATACCCCTTCGATGGTTACAGGAGGAAGTAGTACTTCTGCGCCACAGGAAAGTTTGAGACTTGTTGAGCAAGACGACGTTATGCAGGTCTTCGAGGTTTCTAAAACAGTGGAAGATCACCAAGAACCACAAGATTGCGATCAAAGAGCAAAAAACGATCATGTGGTAGGATCTGATCGAACGGCTGAGAGTTTCCCTGAAAGCGGTACCATGATTCACAGAGTTCAGATTCAGGCGGAAAATCTGAATCCCGAATTCGACATGGCTGCCGACATTGTTGTACCTCAAGCAACGGAATCCGTGCAGCCTGCAAGTCAAGATATGATGCAGGATGAAGGAGATCATAAGGCTATGGAGCATGAACCGGCGGTCAACGATGCGAGCCCAAACGAGCCGTGCGTAAATGAGCCCGATGGGAAAAATCCCGAGCTTGTAACTCCTGCGGAGACCGTTGTGGTAATTCCGCCATCAATGGAGAAGGATGGAGTGCACCAAGAAAGTAAAGAACAAACAGGTACGAGAACTTATGTGTACTATCTTATAAAACATTCAGATACAACTCTTATTCAACAGTACGACATTTATGAAGCATTAAGTACAGATCACTGATGAATTAAATGTTTCCACATTTAAAAATAAATGTCTACTTTCCAATTCTGCCCTTTGACTATGAGATGGAGAAATTCGTTATTCCCTCTATTATTACGGGTAAAATTGTTATTTTGTTAATTAAAAAGTGTAATAATACGTATTTCTAAGACGGTGTGCCTTTTCATTGTGGACATTTCATTTTGGGCCAGATGTAGTATATAGCAATGAAAAGTGTTTGATATATTGCGTTCGTCTGGTTTGTATTTTTTTGCAGGTGAAGTGAGCAACATTGACGCTAATCAAGATGCGAATCGAGAAGTAGCCGTGGGTCTTTCTCTAAGCAATTTTCACGAAATCTAGATCGTAAACCAAACAGTTAAAATCAAGATCCGTCTATCGTTGCTACGGTTTAGCTTATGGGTATGATTCTTGTTAGCATTGCAACGATCTTTCTTTGTTTTATAAGATTTTTCGGTGGAAAAAACACAATTTTCACGAGTTTTTTTTCCGTTTGTGATCTTGTTTTTAGGTCGATTTTGGTGCTATTGAATCTTGATTTGTGGTGAGAGAGTTTTTCTTATTGAAATTTTTACGTCTTTTGAGGAATTCCATTTAAACTTTAATGCTAATAAGTACCGGAAATGTTCACGGAAAAAGCTGTCATTCAGGATAAAGTTCATATATGCTTACATCTCACCCTATTCGAAAAGATATCATACATTTCAGTTCAAAATATCACGTTATTTTGAACACTGACAAACAAGGCGTAATCTCTCAAACTAGCTTTGTTGCACACATCGAGGTGCAAGGCCAGTTTCAAGTTAATATACGTGACTTGAACCTTGAGAGGTAGCTGAACTGGTAAGACACTGGGTTTGTTTAGCAAATGTCACTGGTTCAGGCCCCTTTAAAATCACTTCAGAGTTTGTCCGGCTGTTAAATTTAAAACCTCATGAGATTTGTCGAGGTATGCATAAAATGATTCAGATACCAATGGTTTTTAAATATACATGGTCTTTTTTATTATTATCGTAGATAACCGCGAAGTAAGATTTGAGATGGTATGCAACAGTAAAAACGATTAATTCGCGTGTAGGGTTGTATTTCAATGAGGATGAAAGTTATGGTGAGAATGGTAAGAGTGAATCTCCACCCTTAATCAATCATAATTGAAGATCAACACTAATGCGGTGCATTAAGAGCACCAACCACCAGATCAATTCTTGTGAGAAGCATAATTTGTGGGATGAGAGTGAGATTAAAAGTGATCAAGAGTCCAGATATCTTTTTATGCTTCTTATCTTAACTCATATTTTAACACAATCCTTCATCTTCACGGTGTAATGGTCTTAATCGAGGTTCATCGAGTTAATAATATATTATATCTAAAAGTGTTACAATAATTTATAATACGTTTTTGGACGGTTACAAGTTTCTTAGAGTATTTTTAAAATAAATGACGTATTATTTATTTTATAAAATATTATTTTAATTTACAAAAAGCTCTAAAAATTAAAATACATTTTGATTCAATTTATAAGTTTTTAAAACACTTTTGGAAAAATCAAACCCTTAAAACATTTTTAACTATCATTTTTAAAATAAAATTAAAATATTATTTTAATTTACAAAAAGCTCTAAAAATTAAAATACATTTTGATTCAATTTATAAGTTTTTAAAACACTTTTGGAAAAATCAAACCCTTAAAACATTTTTAACTATCATTTTTAAAATAAAATAAAAATTACAAAACAGATTTAAAACATTTAAAATATTGATATTAATTATATTATTAAAATATTTTCATTCAAATTTTCGTGTTTGGGATTGCTTTATTGCTTATTTAAAGTGTTTATTAACTTATTTTGATGTAATATCGATAATAATAAGTTTCTAGTGTTTGGATTGAAGAAAAAAAATAAATATTTATACCGATGGTTTTATACCGATATCAAAGATTTTTGATAATCTATTCCCTTCTACCTATTAATTGTGACTATTTAGCAGTTGTTGAATGGTTTATTGCATAATAATTAAGTGGTTAGAATAAAATTAATTGTTTGATAATTGTTCAGAATGAATTTAGAAGACTGAATGATTAATAAAGACTCATGATACAAAATTATTCAGAAAGTTTTAAACTATTAAAAAATAAATTTTTTTATTAAATAAGATTCAATTCTTAACAATTTAAATACTGTATTTTAATGAAACTCTAAACAAATATAATAAGGGGGTGTTTGAGATTGCTTATTTAAAACAACTTATGTTTTTTTGTAAAAGTGCTTATTAACTTATGTGGTATCAAACCGGAGTTTTGTAAAAAGTGTTTGGATTAGCTTATAGTGGTACCAAACTGCAATAAGCTGATAAGTTGTTTTTTAGTGTTTGGCAAATTTTGCTTATATTTGTAAAATGACCAAAAAGGACAGGGAGAAGATTGATGTTGTTATCTGGAGAAGGGAGAAGATTGAGATCGATGTTATCTGGAGGAAAAAAGATAATTATAAAGGGTAATAGGGTTAAAATGGTAAACTGGTAATAAGCAGTTTTTCATAAGTCAGGACGAATTAACTTATCAAAAACTGCTTATTACCGGTTTGGCACCGGTATAAGCAGTTTTATTTTTTCTTATCCAAACACTAGGTATTAGCTTATCACCGGTGCCAGACTGAAATAAGTCAATAAGCAGATACAATAAGCAATCCTAAACACCCCTTAAGAATTTTTAGTTTTGGGATGGAAAAAAACACTTTTCAGCTGGTTGGGTCGTGATACGAAAACTGAAAGTTGGGAAGAAACTTCTTTTAATCTTCAAGAATTTCATCGATCGATCAAAGGGTTTTCTTGATACAGAAGTTCTCTAGATTTCCAAGAAGATGGACATAATTTCCCAATTACAAGAGCAGGTCAACACCATTGCAGCCATCGCCTTCAATACATTCGGAACATTGCAAAGAGACGCACCTCCAGTTCGTCTCTCTCCCAACTATCCCGAGCCTCCTGCCACTGCTGCACCTCCCACCGCTGCTACTGCTACTAACGCTGCCGCTGCCAATCCCACCACTGAAGAGTCTCCCAATAATAATATCTCCGAACAACCTAAGCTTCTCAGCGCTGAACTCGTCAAAGCTGCTAAACAGGTTTAAATAACCAATTTTGGTGTCAATTTAGCCATTGTTTTTTTATATTGAAGGGGTAAATTTTATTGGGTTTAATAGATATAAGAACTAAATTAACTCTTTTTCAGCCCATTCTTGCTAAAGTCCAAGGTTTTTGTGCGCGACATTGTTGAATTTTTCTCTGTAGCAAGATACCTTATGCTAGTTCTCGGTCAGGGTTATTGCTTGTTAAAACTATTGAAGTTTAAATCGTTCGTTTGGAAATTCAGCCATGTTTTTATGTTATCTGGGGGTTAACCTTTGTTCTGCTTATAGGGTTTTTGTTAATATTCGAGGGTTTTGTGTGTGGCCACGCCTGTAGAAAGTTATGAAATTTACTCTAAACAAGATACTCATTACTGGTTTTGGGTATTTTGTGTGCATTGTTATGGGGTAGGGATATTGGTGTTTAAGATTTTAATTGTGGTTTCAAGCTAAGAAAATGGTATGGAATTCAATAAATGATTTGGAGATGGAATGAGTTAAAACCTTGATTCATTCTGAAGGGTTTTCTTAGTTTACGTGGGTTGATGGAGGTTTTATGATTTGTTGCCATCTTCAAAGAAGCTTGGAACATTTCCGTTTTTCCTTCAAAAGTGTCTTGAAATCTAATCATGGATAAGCTGGAACCTTTAAGTTGTCCTATTGATGTCTACCAATATGAAACACCACCTCTAGATAAGCTATGTTGTTTTGTATGAAAGAGCAAACCTACTGTATAGATGCAATCTAGATGGTTAATCCGGTTCTTGCAAGAGTGTGGGCCTTGGGTTTCAGGTAGTGATGAATCTAGGAAGGGTGGTTTCCTGTAGTAACAATCATGATGAGTAAAATAATGAACTCTGCTTATATGAGAAATGAGTTGTGAAAATGGAAGAACTTCTCAAGTTTATATCATGAACTGTTATTGATTTCATATAATAAAAGTCATCCAAGGATCCTTCTGAATGCATTTGCATTTCCCCCCCTTTTTCCTTTTGGCAGAAAATGGAAATATATTGTTGTATTAATGACAATTTCATAGAGTTGCAGGAGGCAGGATGCCTTCCTGGAGCTACTTTGACATTTCATCCACTTCATGATTCACTGCTCATTGACGCCGTCATAGCCTTTGTCTCACAAATTCCTTGAACCGCAAGACCATGATTCTGAAAACCGAGTAACAACCAAACACAAAGCAGAGAAGTTTGAATGAACCCTATAAGAGTTTCAAATTGCATCTGACAATTTGAGTTGTATCCCGCTAACAGAATATGATGAGTGAATGACATGCAGAAAACAAAAATGGCTGAGATGAGCCAATTGGCCTAACCTCTCGAATAAAACGAAAAAACCCGCATCCTATTCTACCAACTAAGAACCTTACCACTGACACATTTTGCAGAACATCACCATGAAGCCAAATAGGCAGCCGTTTGCTGAGAATTGAAAGAAAACAATACCTAGAACCTTTGGATATGCTGGAGTAGATGGATGAGGGGGAAGCCGGTGGTAGATCCATGACAATGAAGACCTGATTGACGCAATACCCGGTGAACTCTTTCAATGAGGCAGATAATTGGGAGTAGTTGTCCTTATATAGTCAGGTGTTTATAGAATCCTTAGAAGTACCAATTTTTTACTTCAGTCTACAAGTAACAAGCCATTTGACCCACAAAAAACTCCAATTTGACTATGCAAATACCCTTGATATTTATGCAATTTACTTATTAACTTATACAGATATGTGTTCATGTATGGTACGGCTTGAAATTTTGAAGGAAATTAAATGGCTTTTGTGTTATATGAAATAACAAATCCATTTACAATTCTAAAATAAGGCATATATGCATATATGTTTTCTTTGGGAGCTTGGTAAGATGAGTAACCATCTACCAACCATAAGCCTTTAAAATTACCAAACAGTCCTTTAGTAGGATTAGCAACACCAGTACCAATAGACCTCTTTTGCTGTACATATGTTGAAATATGACCATTTTTGCCAAATCTTTAGATTTATGAGTAGGGGGAAGAGAATATAGCACGTTGTATTCACCCGATGGGCTCTCTAACACTATTCATTGTGTGGGATACCTGAAAAATTGTTCCCCATATATCTATATTCATAGGTTTCATATAAGTAGCCTTCTTTGGATCCTTTGGAATCTTTAGTGTTGCGCTAATGCTTACTTCGTTTTGTTTCGATCCCACCCCCAAGCAAGTATCATATATTTATATACACATATGTGTTTGCAGTTCTTCTAGGTTCCATTCACTTATAACATTTTTCTCCATTTTTGCTTTCTCTGTTTTGTGTGCTTCTTAATTTCTTCTTTGCTTAAGCAAACCGGTTTGATAGTCACATATTTATTTCTTTTCGCACAATATAAATGCGACCCACACAACGAAAAGGTTAATTTGCCAAATAATTTTGAAACTGAAATATGATGATATTTGCTAATAGATTTTGTCTAAAAGTATATACTATCTTCCTCTGAGATTTCTTTGATATGCCTGTTATTAACACATCATATGTTGTTATGGGTGCTAGTTTGATGCGTTGGTAGCCGCACTTCCATTGGCAGAAGGGGGCGAGGAAGCTCAGCTGAAAAGAATCGCAGAACTTCAGGTATAACACCCCCCCCCCCCCACGTGCAAAAAAAACAAAACAGAGATGAACATAGCCAAGAAAGTAATAATACAATCCCAAAATGGTTAAAGAAGAATGACCATGGATCCTCATCTCATCAATCATGAACTTGCGTGTAGGCTGAAAATGATCTTGTTGGCCAAGAACTTCAAAAGCAACTTGAGGCTGCAGGTAAATCACTTCTCTGCATTTTTCTATATATACGTTTTATTTGTTCTTTTTTTCTTTACCCATGAGTCCCATGTCAGTATTTTAATGCACTCTCTTGGCTCAAAATAGAGTTACATTTTGACTGTAGAAATCAAATGGCTTGTCTTTGAGTTGATAAATGTTGTAAATTCTGAAGTTTTTGACTGCATTTAACTTTACAGTTAATATGCTTTGTGAGATGATTTAGGATCTGGTCAGAATGAATTGGCTTTTGGTCATACTCCATTCACAAAAAGGGCCAAGGATAAACTTTCTTCGAAATATTTTGGGCTCTATCTCGTGTTCCAGAAAGTTGTAACAATGTCTTTCAAGCTCAATCGTCCTCCTACTTTGAGATTCCATCCTGTTTTTCACACATCTTCCTTAAAAAGAATCTTGAGAAAAGGGTCATTCCTATCACTGAGTTATCTTCCATAGAACTGGACAGCAGAACTTACAAATCGTGTCAATTGTCCTCTGTAAATTTGTTCCAACTTACCTCAAACTTATCTAAGTTATTTCGGCTGATGTTGGAAGTCTAAGGAACCGAAATTGACATTTTGGTTTTCTGCAACTGGTTGAAATCTGTAAAACATATTTCCCTTGCAGAACCCCCACCCTTTGGACACTGTCAAATTTTGGAAAACCAAGTGTTTCTGTCAAAATTTGGAAAACTAAGTTTTGGGATGATAGTATGCATTGCATTTTTTTTCAAACTCATACTTCTTGGGGCCTCATCCTCTGTGGTGAGTGAGGGGTTATTTAACATAATAACTTTCTGACAGATTTTGAGGTGCTCTTGTGTTAGGAAGAGGCATTTTTGTTAGACATAGACGTTCTTAAATCTGTCATAAGGTCGTGTATCTAAAACAAATCTGTCAGAAGGTTATTATCATAAATAACCCTCCATTACACTACAGTGAGCAAGAGTATGGCTGGGTCAACTATAGGATAAAAGTTTAATGAACCTTAGCATCTTTTCAAACTACAAAAAATACACAAAACCCACAACAATATCAACGATGTTGGCATAGTTTTCAGGGATGAAAGAATAGGGGAGGAGAGGTCAACTAGAGTGCCAAGAAGGGTGGAATTGGGTAGCAGGACGGTAGATATGTCATTTGATATCTCAAATATTATCTATGCCTATGTTTTTCCGATAACCATCTGGGCCAGCTTGCATGCATCTCCACTAATTTCATGGTATCCTAAAGATAATAGCCAGAAAAATTCATGGTGGCCCTGAGGAGACTCAGACTGGCGACCTATGGTAGGAGCCCAAACGCCTAGCTTTCATTTGCTTGATGAGCTGGCCCTCAAGGTTTATCCGTGCCTATCTTGGTTAATTGTATACCAGTATCAACCTATTTTGTGGTTGTAATATCTTTGAAGCTAACAAAAAAAGCTTGCAACACGCCAGTGTACTAAATAGCAAATTAATGTAGTCGAGTTGAAGGAAGAATTTAGGACTTTTGCACGAAGGGTTTTAGAAGAGCCAATAGAACACCAATTTACTCAAGTTCGAAAAGAACTTGGCTTTCTACATAAAGCTCCCTCTAAAAGCTTATTGTATTGATGTGTCAGTAATTGATTGGTGGACTGAGAGTTTGGGACCATGTGATTTGTATTCGTAGATGAATCTGTCGGGGTTTTTTGGTCTTAATGTATTGGCATGTTATTGTTGATATGATCAGAGAAGGAATTGAAACAAGTCCAGAAATTGTTCAACGAAGCAGCAGATAATTCCCTCAACTTGAAGAAACCAGACTAACGATCAGGATCTGCGAATGGCGAATCTTGATTTCTGCCCGAATCTGTTGGCGGGCATTTGCTTATACAAATGGTGCGCGATTTAGTTCAATTCATGTTGTATTGGTTTAGTGCTTTATACGATTCAATCGGTAAAAAGTTGTAGTTTATACAACGACTTAGCTTTATATTTTACTTGTTTAGTAAGTAACTAATCAAAGTTGAGGTGATTAACCATGAAATTTGGTTGTTAAATAACAGCTTCTGATCTTTTTTTTACTTGGTTTCTTTGGTTGGAGATCTTGATCTTTTCAATACATGTATGGATCTGAAGATGTTGAATAAATATTCACATGTGGTGGATGGTTATTTATGTCATTCAGTTAGACGTTAAGTGAATTCAAACAATTTTCATTTTTAATATAAAATAGTAAAACTGAAACGATGCTATTTAGTCACAATTTCCCAAAATGGAATGTATTTAATATAAGTCAAATTGTAAGAAAAAGTAACGTACTTTAACTTGATTCCTATTTTGGATAACGTACTTTCAAAACTTCCATTTTGGTACCTAAGATGTAAAGTTTTAAACATTTAAGTACCCGGATAACCGGTTGAAACATCTCTAATAATTTTTATATAACAAAAGAAAATAAAAGTTTTGATAAATTTTGTCTTAATCAGATTTTCTAAACCATGCTCCAAGATGGAGGAAACAAAGAGGATGATTAATGGAAGAAACACATAACATATCCCAAACTTCTCGCTCCCATCAGACGGCTGACGGAAATAGACTGACTATCGAGAATAATAGTGTTACTTCGTCTGCACTGGTTTGTACAAGAATGCACGAGTTATACCGAGTACTCGGTGTAAATTTTTTTCATCTTCATAATTCTTTTCTATAAGAAAGAATGTTTAACATTAATTTTTGGAAAAATTGCACCAAAATAGAACCAACTTTCACCTAATTCCTATTTTGAGGAACCAACTTTCAAAATCGTCATTTTGGGGAACCAACTTGCACCTGATTCCTATTTTGGGGAAACAACTTGCAAAATAATTATAGAAAAATAACTAAAATTCGTTTAATAGAAAAAAATTAATGCAATAAAATCTATTTTTCATTTCAAATCTCGTTTTTTTTTAATTCAGATATCAAATTGAACATTTTTAAAAAAAATCCAAATTACAACAATAAAAATTGTTTAATAGAAAAAAACCACCCTCATTTGTACAAACCGTACAAACCACAAGATATGATTCGAAAAAATCTTGTAAATTGTTTAATAGATAAAAAAATTTATCGTGGTAATTTGGATTTTTTCCGAAAAAATTTTCAATTTGATATCTGAATTTAAAAAAAAAGGAGATTTGAAATGAAAAATAGATTTTATTGCATTAATTTTTGAAAAAAAATGAATTTTAGTTATTTTTCTATAATTATTTTGCAAGTTGGTTCCCCAAAATAGGAATCAGGTGCAAGTTGGCTCCCCAAAATGACGATTTTGAAAGTTGGTTCACCAAAATAGGAATCAGGTGAAAGTTGGTTCCCCAAAATAGGCATCAGGTGAAAGTTGGTTCCATTTTGATGCAATTTTTCATATATATATATATATATATATTGATTTTTGATGATTTTTTTTTAATTGTCATGTATATAGAAATTTATATACATTGATGTAAATAGAAATGAATGTATGTGCATTCTAATTTTATTTATAAAGAAAAAAAGATAAAAAATGATTAAAACTTCTCATTGAACCACCTCTTGGTTCTTAATTTAATATATTTTTGATTATATATTGATTGATTGATAAATTTTAATGTATTTTGATATATGTTGATTGATTTTGATGATTTATTTTTTCAATTGTCATGTAATTAAAAATATGCGTAGTTTTATTTTTATTTTATTTTGATATATGTTGATTGATTTTGATATATTACAATCAATGACATCCAAGCTTTGACATATGCATCACCACAATACATCTTTGTTAATCAGACTACCTACCACGACCAATAGATATTTCCACATGGCCTCCACATTTGGATGGAACTTCCTTCTTGTGTTGGAATCGGGAGGTCCTGAGTGAGACTGAAATCCGTCTCTTCTTCTATATCATCGTCAAAAACAAGTCTAAAACCACATTCTTTTACCTCAACATCATCATTATCTTCAAACCAAAAAGTAACAAAATTCTTTGCCTTCCGTCATTGACGATAAACCCGAGTCTCAAAACAAAACCATATGATATCTGACTTAGGATTTTCGGTGGAATTATATATAAATCGATAGTGGTGAACCAAAGAAGTCCCATCAAAGTCGTCCACATGATAGCGTGGTAAATTGTTGTAATTGAAGTGATTATAATTAGACTTTTTGGAGGCAAATCGACCTATAAGTGATTTCCCATACTTGTATCTGTAAACCACTGCGGAATTCTATTTCCTCAATATTTTATATCCAAACTGTAATTGTGTTGTCCACCGAAGATTCCACGTGTGTTAATGGGGAACTCCATAAATTGAAGCAAAAAAGAAATTTGGTTTCTACAATCGTGGGAGGTTATAGATGAGCTAAGATCAAGTAGAGGCTGCCACATACAAACCGGGCTTTCAATACTAACATTCCTAAGCAATTTTGGACAACCGTTAAAAAGCATGACTAAGGATGATTGAATATTAAAATTGATAGGTGGATGTTGATGCAAGGAGGTGCAATAAGATGCGTCAAGAATCTGAAGGTTTGGTGGAAGTTCTGGAAGCATTTCCAGCTTGTTGCAACCAGTAAGTTGAAGATGTTGAAGATGAGAAAGTTGAGTTAAACATCCAGGTAAGCTAGTAAAGTGGTTCCCAACCAAGTATAAAGATTCTAGAAATGATAAGCCTCCAATGCTATCAGACACTTTCAATATATTGTAGTAGCGAAGATTTAATTCTCGTAAGTAACGTAAATCCACCGATGAAGGCATTACCAGACTTTGGGGATGTTGCATCTTACTTAGGAACCATGAAGGTTGAGAAATTGAACCCCACCATCTAGACCGGATCCTCTTCTCATGTCGACCAAATCCCAATACTTGAAGGTTGTTTTGAGAGAATACAAAAGAAGGAATTTCCGTTATGGCGGTACCATCGATACAAAACTCTTTCAAAGTTTGGATTGTGCCAAAGAATTCAGGAAGTTTGTCCAGTTTTGAGTAACCCGAGAGATTCACAACTTCAAGAGAATCCATTTCGACTTTGCAAGGGAATCTCCTAAAACATTTGCAATCTTTCATATTTAGAACAACAAGCTTCTTGAGCATCCCAAGGGATGGGTGGGACTTTAACCAAATTCACACAACCTTCAAGAATGAGTTTTTTGAGATTTGTGATCCTTGTGAAATTGGGGGTACTTGTTAGGTTACGACAATGCCTTAGCTTCATCACTTTCTACCTTTCAAAACACTAACATCAAGGCCAAACAGGAAAACACTTAATTAGATCTCCAGGTATTAAAAACATAGAAGGAATGCATATACAAAGCAACATAAGTACCTTAGGCGATGTCCAAAGATTTTTGATGTGGCTGTAAGACAAGTCGATGGCAACAATGTTTTCTGGATAGAAATCTGAAGGGAAACACTTGAAAGGGAATCCATGCCAATAAATTAACCTTACCTTATTTGATAAAAATTTCAACTTCCCATCGTAATTGACCTTAGATTCCTTCCACAACTTCCAATCAAATGCATTCCAAAGGTGTCTGAGTTCCTTATCACATATTTTTAGGATCCGCAAATTCTTCATTTGTGCAAAAGCTTTACAATCAATGTGAACCTTCAAAAAATATTCCTTTCGCAAAAGGTGAAGGACTTCAACTGCTTCTATTCCGTAGATCCAGTAAAAAGAATATGGAACATATAGTTTAGATCGAAAAGAATGACACATACCAAAAATAATCATATGCCTCTTCTTACCTCGTTTTCATTCAATACATCATAAACCTCCGATGAAATCCACAACCTGCTTCGCTTCCCAGGGGTGTTGGACTCTTCGCGTACAATTTCCCTTGCCATCTTTTGGATCAAGTCATGCATTTCAAGCAAATCATTGCGAGAAACGACAAGTAATGACTTGTTAACTAGAACTTTGATATTTGTATTCGTATGATAATTACAACCATCTAGTACAGTTGCTGCATCATCTTTATTTTCACCAATGAATGAAGATGCCTTATCAAGGAAGATATTTTTTTGTTGAGGGCTTAATGCATCGAAACTTAATCGAAGCACCCGTTGTATCTCTTCATTAGGATATACTTGGAGCCCGTCCAATTCGCTTTTCCACTCCTTCACAGTTTTTCCGTAAAGAAAAGATCTCAACACCTTGCGGGCAAAGGGGTGACCTTTCACATACTGCACAACTTGCAGAGCAAGTTCTTGAAAGTCTTTAGTAGGATGTTCTTCATGAAAAGCATACAAACTAAAGAGCTCAAGAGATTCAAAATAATTGAGAAACTCCATGTCATAGATTTCATCTACTTTATGAGACCTTAGCAACTGCTTGTCTTTACTAGTGAAAATAATCAAACTTCCTGGGGAAAACTAATCACATGAACCTGATAGCGCTTCTAACTGATCACGATGATCTACATCATCTACAACAAGTAGGATCCGTCTAGATGCCATCCTCTGTTTCATTACCATAATTCCTTGACCAATGTTGGATATCCTCACATCTGTTGTTTTCATGATGTCGTTGATAAATTGCATTAGAACATGAGTTAGTCCATGTTGTTTTGTGGCTCCTTGGACATCATCCAAAAAGCTACATTTCTCAAAGTGGATATACATGAGGTTATAAATGGCTTTGGCAAAAGTGGTCTTTCCTATTCCACCAATACCACATATTCCAATCATGTGAACCTTGTTAGAGTGAACAAATCGTAACAAGTTCAATTTCTTTATACGAGCATCCACCCCTACAAGGTTCTGGCTGACATGCAAAGGTTCATGAGATAATGCTTTTAGGATTTCTTTGGAGATGCTATCAATGAATTTGGACTCAAACATGTTGACCAGAAAGAACTCCAAATGTATAGAATTAGTTCTAATAAAGTTACTAGATGAATTGGTTTGGGAGAAAAACAGCTACTTAATGAAATTCAAATGATATGGCCCCTTGTTAATTTGATTAGAGATATAAATCATTATAGTAAAGAAAAAATTTACCCATTTGCCACGTCCTCGAGATCCCATCCAGATAAGTTGGCAGCCATGGATAAAGCTTCTTTCCATTTAGCAACCTCTGCTCTATTTGAAATCTCATGTTTGGCAAACGCTTGTGCATAGCTCCCAATCTGTTTCCTCACCACATCAGGCTTCACGTCATAGAAGATCACTCGAACCTCATGCTTGTGCTCTCTCGCCTCCTTGCAGTCGAGGATTTTTACAAGTTCCCACAAACACCATGACGGATGCATAATTTGTAGAGAAGACGACTACCAGAAACCTCGATTCTTGAATGACTTTGTCGAGATTAGGAGGTATCTTTTCGCCTAGGGTGAGATCCGTATCATCTCTAAACACGTGAATTCCTTTTTGTTCTAAATCTTTGAATAGATTATCCATAAAGCTTTTACGGATATCTTCACCTCTAAAACTTACAAAGACATCATACGTCCACCTAGGCCGTTGAACGGATGCAATAGCCATTATCAATGACGAAAGCTGTGTTAAACACATGTAAAGATCAACCAAAAAAGAGTAGCTTTGAATTTAACATGGATGAGTAAAAGAAAGATGGATTAACAGTTGGGGATTTCTTATATTTTTATTTAAAAACATATAAATTTATACTATATTTTTATTGATAACACATAAAATATTTTACTTTGTCATTATTATAAGTAGTGGACACATCCATCCATCATTTATTTTCTTAAACAACATCAAAACCAATGTGCACAGGAAACGAAACGGTTTTTAGACCAGGGCACACACATCTCTTTAATATATTGATTTTTATAATTAAGAATATAAATGATATAAAGTTAAAATGGTTGAACCTAAAACGTTTGAAAAAACATGAGTCAGGTTTTTAAATTGTTGAGGTGACGAAAACATGTAAGGAAAAAGCTATGAAACAAAATAAATTGAAGATTAGGGATGAAACTAAGATGACATTTGTTTTGCAGAATGTTTTTGGATGAAATAAAATTTGTTAAGGAAATTTGACATTGAAGGAATTGGAATGAAATGTTGTCATGTTTGACCACATGTTTAGTTGACAAACATTGGAATGAAATCTGTCTGTTTGGTTCACAGGATGTAGGCATGTAGCTTTGGAATTTGAATGAAATATTGGTAAATGACCAAAATATCATTTTAAAAAAAAAATTAATTTTTTTAAAACTAAAAATAATAATTAAACAATATAATATACACAACGTATATATAGAGATTAGGGTATATTGAGTTAAGGACATTTTTGGTATTATAAAAATAGAGAATTATATTCCATCAAAATACCATGTAGTTGTTAAAGAATGTTGAATTCCTTTATTTATGGAATTTGTAGGATTTTGAAGATTTCTTTCGTAAAAAAGAATGAAGTAAATTCGGTTAATGAAATTTAACATTCCAATTCCATCAGAATCTACGAACCAAACGTCCCCTCAAATTTCCATTAAACCCTAGAAACGAAACCTGTAATTTACTCAACTTTTTATATTTTGCAGGATATCATTATGACCTTAACTTTATAACAAACAATTCATTACAGAAGTAAATTTCCTGGTCTATACATTTGGCTAAGGAATGGGGAGAAAGTAGAAGTGAAGGTTCCAGAAGGGTGTCTGCTCATTCAGACAGGAAAGCAGGTAATAAATCTAATTACATTATCTTGGTTCAAGATGTTGTAACCAAACTCAAAATCATCATGTTACTTTTGCTTAAAAACCCTAAACCCTAAATCCTAAGACGATGATTGCATTGAGGTGTTTTTGATGTAAATTTTTTTCATTGATATTGTTTCTTGTATCTAAAGAACTTCATACATTTTATATTTTTCATCCTTTTTTCATCCTCAATACACACCTTGACTTTGGAAACACAAAAGCGAATGGACCAACTATACGATATGTAAAAAATCATGATACAAACATACATAACATTTTAATACACTCTAAATTAATTACAAACAAACTTGCATAAAATCCTTGCCTTAGATCATAATCACAAATTCCCACGACCCAAAGTTGAAAACTTCAAATTTTGAAGACTTAATATATAAAAGTTAAAGAACTCGAGAACCTGCAAACCAAAAAACGCTCAACATAAGTAAAAAATATATAGTGAACTTGAAAACTTCAAATCTTCACTTAATACATAAGAGTTATAATGCAAACAAAATATGATACAAATATAAATAAAATTATAATGCAATTAAAATCATGAAACAAATCAATGTAGAATTATTACCTTATATTGCAACCAAAAAATCAAATAATGAACTTGAATATTTCTTCAAATCTTCATGACATAATGCATAAAAAACTGTAATGCAATCTAAATAACGATACAAACATACATAAATTTATGGGAGAAGTGAAAAAACAAAAAAAAAAAAACTATAATGCAATCTAAATAACGATACAAATATACATAAATTTATGGGAGAAGTGAAAAAAACAAAAAAAACAAACTATAATGCAATCTAAATAACGATACAAATATACATAAA